ACCTCTATTCTCAAGACAATTTCCGTATGTTCTGAAATTAACAACACATACATTAATGATATTGCATTAACTTTACTATACTACTATAAACAGGAAGCCTAATTTCATGGTAGGAAAAATATGCGTGTTAGTAACTCGAAAGAAATATGCTCCACAATTCAATATGAAAGAAATATTAGAAACATTTTCATAAAATTCAACAAAAACTCTTACCCGGTACAGCGAGCAAAAAATTAATTTTGCTTGAAATTAACATTACATATATTAATGATATCGGATTGGATTCGCTTTAAAAATATATTATATTATATTATTATAAATAAGAAGACGAAGGTCAAAGTAGAAAAAAACTAGGTATATTGTATACATAGTCTAGGGAATCCTTAAGAAATGTAATGACTGAATTGATGCTTTTTAGGCGATTATCAGACTAAAGCATATTTATCAGACGAGGTTGCTAGAGCTAACATCGCCATTTTTTCACAAACTTATCCATTGCATAAAAATAAACTTGATATGCATTTTTATATTATTTTCAAATATTTTTTTCTACTCATGTCTTCATGTTTTTTATTATTATTATAATTATGATTACAGAAATCCCAGTTGTTGGCGACATCATTGATATCATCAACCATTGCCTGAATTACATGCTCCAATCCATCTAGAATAAACAAATACAAATTTTGGCTATACTACAATATTAAAATTAAATCACATTAGGTACCGTACAAATGTTTAGAATAATTAAACCCGGCTTTGAGCAGTAGCCGCATTTAACATAACGCTTCTCCCTAGATTACATTGTTAGAAATCGCTAATGTATATATTATACTGCTCTTTACACTGTTCTACATATCTGGTGCACTTTTCTTAACTATTGATAAAAACTATAATTTTTAATTCATTAATAACTTGACAATTAGGTACATAATTTAACAAAGCTTCTACATATATTATTATATTATTTTAAGTATCATATCTTACTTGCTCTAGATTTATTTCCTATAGTTAAATTATTCATACTATAAGCATGTTTGATGGTATTAGCTGTGATACATATTAAAAAAAAATTGTATAAACATAAGTTTTAGAAACTTTAAGTATCATCAAGAAACATGAAGGGACTGCTGATGCTGTGTGTTGGTGCAAGTTGCAGTGGTTTAATAGCATATCTTTCGTCAAAGCGTTTTATATTAACAGCATTAATATTCAAAACAATATTTGATATAATTGAACCGGTTACTCGTCAGCTTCAGTCACTTGATATGGACATGCTGATGGCCACAAATATTTTTAAAAATGTTATTCTTCAAATTAAAGAACTAAGAAATGGCAGCTCGTTTAAAAAATACTAGTGATGGCTGATGAGTTTTCTGAAAAGAGTGAAGTTGATCTTTTACCCCACTCACATTAGGTCGGCCAAAACGTGTACCAAAAAAATCAGGTATTTATAACAAGTTATTGTTATATTAGTAATTTCATGTGCATTATATTGTATTATAATATTTATCATATATTTTTATGTATTACAGTTGTACATTTTATTACTATTTTCAGGTGAAAATACTCGAGATGAACCTATACTGTGTGCAAAAAAAAAGTTTAAAGTTGAAACACATAATTGCATCATTGATATTACATTATCAGAGCTAAGTGAACGTTTTAAGACACCAAATATTGGACCCTTGAAAAATCTTTCTCTTCTTTCATCTAGACGTATTCGAGAAGTGCAAAAAAATCTATACAATGTGCCTTGTGATGCCTTTGAAGCCTTGTGTTCTATGTACACACAAGTTGACAGGGATGCATTATTAACAGAATATGAAGAATTTTGTAAAAACTTTACAGAAATAGAAAACAGTATTGTAGTTCCAAAATATCTTCATGAAAAGGAACAATTAATTGTTGAAGATGAAATTAATGAAGATTCTTTAGATATAAACTCATATGATTATGACGATAATATGATGGAAGCTCAATAGAAACTGTAAATAATATTCATAATATAGCAAGTACTAAGGAACTATTTAAAAATTCTTGTTTGGCAAAATTATCAAGTATTTTTCCTAATTTATACTTAGTTTTTAAATTATCTGTTACATAACCCGTCACAAGTTGTAGCGTTGAGCGTACCTTTTCAAAGTTAAAACTAATAAAAACTAGTGTTTGAGAAAAAAGTAGGTTAAGATAACAAGTTATAATTGTTACTATAGTAATAACTAATAAGTAGGTATACCGTATACCTTAATGAAATAAATTGTTTATATTTAGTAGAAAATATTCTGAAATTTTCTGTAGATGAAAGGGTGGTAGGTTAGGTGGTTAGGTGACTCGCCATACATATAATTACAGATTTCGGCGCCACTGCTAATAACTAATGCAATGTATGAGGCTATAAATGTAAACACCTAATAAGTAGTTGCATTTCTAGGTCATCTTAAAGTATTAGTTCAAAGTAATACAAACAACTAATGGTAGCGTGTGCAGACATAAGTAAGGAAATGTTGTCTTTTATGAACCTTGAATAATACCGAGTATGTTCATCAATAAATTATTACACGGCTTTACACGTATTAAAAGCTGCATTTTTTCAATATTTTTCTTCATTTCTCGTCGACGTGTTCATCGAGTGTCTATTTAACAGCTATACATTTACAATCGCATCATTGTTAAAGCTAGATTGTCAGTGCGATCAAGTAAATATAATAATAAGATAAATTATTTTAAATAATACAAATTTTAATTATTTTAGTTTTACATATTTTTTTACAATATTTCAGAAACCAAACATATATATTAAGTCACAACTGAACTGTATTGTTCAAATTATTTTACTCTACAAAGTGACATGCTTTTCAAGTTAAAATTACGAATAAGTAGATTTAGAGTGGTTCTAAAAATTATACATTTTTTAAAAAAAATCTGGTCAAACATTTTTTTTTATTTGGGAAAAAAATTACTAAAAACTCGATTGCTAATTATACAAAATAATTCTTATAAAACTGCTTAAGCAGCAACAGAAAACAATACCTACATTTTATCTACATATATTACTTATTAGTTAAATATTACTAAAGTTTATAGCCACCAGCTGTCGGCTGTTGCCTGTTATTTAACAATAACCTTTTATGGAGACTTCATAAGTTGTATTTTTTTTAATAATAGTATAAAGTTAAATGTTCACGAGATTTGATCTAGTTATAAAATAAAGTATGATCATTCATGACTTTTAATTATTATTAAAACATATCTTAATTTGAACATAGTAATAAAATAATGAAATATTTTATACAAAATGAGAGCTACAAGTTGATAAACTAAAAAATTAAAATTAGCACGAAGCAGATTATCTAATATTAGATAATTTAAATAATCAAGCGTAAATCTCTTTAAATTAATAACAGAATAACAATATGCAGAACATTAGTGTTTCTTTAAAAAAATTGTGTAATATGAAATACATTTTTTATATGTTATGAATACATGGAAACAGAACTTAAATTAAAAATGCTCAATAAAAATAAACAAAAATTAAATTAAATTTAGATAAGTTAAAACAAGAAGACATCGGAACGAGGTTTACTATAGAATGTAATAATGCAATTAACAATCATTGGCAAGAAGATAATAAAAGCATAGCAGATAGATGGAACAAACTCAAACAAACGCTTAAAGAGAATGCTAACAATATTTTAGGAGTAAAAAGGAATGACGCAAAGAAACCATGGATAACTGATGAAATCATAACATTAATGGAGGATATCTTCAGTCGGAATTCGATGCAGCAGTGGAATATACCAAGAACAATAAAGCAAGTGGAATAGATGAAAACCAGTAGAGTTAATAAAAAATGGAGGACAAGTTACGAAGATTAAGTTATATGAGATATGTGATGAAATTGTATCAAAGAGGGGTGATGATAAACGACTTTAAACACGGATTAGTCGTAACGTTACCAAAAAAGAGAGGAACGATGAAATGCGAAGAACACAGAACAATAAATCTTACATCTCACGTTTCGAAGATATTATGTAGAATAATAAAGACACGAATAGAAAGTAAAATTTACTCAAAACTAGGGAATGACCATTTTGGTTTTAGAAAAGATATAGGCACTATATGCTGGTTTATACTGTGCTTGGTTTGGACTGTACTGGCTTGAAAATACTAGCTACCGATTTGCATCGAAGCGTTTTTTCGAAAGTGATTTTATCACTTTTAGATTTAAAAATTCCTGTAAGCCTTTGACCTCCCCGTCCCCACTATGCCCCGACCCAACTATGCTCCGTCCCCACTATGCTCCGACCCCACTGTACTGGTTTTTTTAATAGTATTTTTTTTTAAATAATATTCATATTATATTCATATTTATTGATATTTATATTTATATATTTATACGCCTCGAGGGCAAGATTATAAAACATCATAAGAACTGTGATAATTTATACAATGAAATATCAAACAACAATGATAATAGTAACAATTATTGTTATAAAATTAAAAACTATATCTACGGTAGAGAGAAAAAAAAAGAAAGAGATGTAAGGTATTACTATATTATGGTCATATAATGTAAAATTTGAGGCTAAAAAACATGTAAACACCTAACCAGTAGTATTTATGTACATTTATAGGTATTTACATTTATTATGTTTCAGGCGTTTTAATAAGAGAAACATGGCCAATGCACGAATTGGTAGAAGTGATGACGATTATGTGCAGTTTATTAAACTGCATAAATCATTTGTTTCACTATTTAAAACAAGACTTAGAATTTTCCTAATAATTGTTGCATTATCGCTCATGGTTTTTATGTACAGTGCTTATGGTCTATTTTACAATTGGAAATTTTATACTGTTGAAAGCAAACGCACAGTTGCAGTTTTAACGGTCCACATAAACTACTTAATGTCTGTGTTTAAAGTTACCATAATATTGCTTAAAGCTAATCGAATGTTAAAAACTTTCGATATTACACGTTATAATTTTTTGAAAAGTTTAAAATTGAAAATCCTAAATTGCGAAAGTGTAAACCTCCAAAGTCGAAATATGGTGTTCTGTAAACGTTACCTATTTCTATCCATGTTCAACTTGGTTGTATGGATATTTTGCCCTCTTGTATATAATTTTACAATGTCTAAACATGTTCTGACCCATTTCCAACGTTTAAGTGTAACCAATTTTTACCTTCCCCTTTCCAAAAAATCCTACAATAAATATTTTTTCCTTAGTTATGTCGTTAAAACCATGTTTGTCACGACGATTGCCTTATTTATGCTTAGTTTTGATATATTTTATTTCACAATTTGCACGGCAATAGCTGCCCAATACGAGAACTATAGTATCGGGATTAAAGAAGTTTGGTCATAACAGAATGAATAAAAGTAAGTAAATGAATATTGTACTAAAATTATAACGATCTCTTATATTATATTTATGGGGCTACTCGAAGAAATAAGACAGTAAACACAGACACAATTTTTTTCACATCATTGTAAAACCAATAGCAGCATCTGGGGTCACCGATTAGGGCTCACCTAAATTTACCAGATGCTTAAATTATTTTAATACATTAAAAAAAAAAAAGACGTACAATTATTTTTATGAAAATTTATTTTGTTGCGGTTTACGGTTAATTAAACGTACATTATTAATTAAATTGTGGTTTTTTCGTCATTGTAGCTGATGGAACTCAAATGTACGAAGAATTGAAAATCATAATATCCGATTATCAAAATGTGCATTTGTAAGGATTTTTTTTTTAAATTTGAGCAAATAAATTAAATACTGACTTGGAACTCGTCGTGGGTATAGCTCCTTATACATGCAAATTGTTTTAGATACATGAAAGAATTCTGTTCAATAGTCCGTCCGGTCGTATTGGTTGAAGTGGTTCTTTGCTTCTTCTCAATCGTCACATGTTCTTATATAGTGGCATTGGTAAAGAAACAATAGCTTAAGTTGTATTTATTTAAACTGACTTTTATATTTTTAGCAAATTGTGACCCATTCGTTTAGTGTTGTCGACTTTTTACCGGCATTAACAACTATGGTAACCTATTGTATACTATTGTACATCTATCTTTATTTTACGGACCTTATGAACGAAAAAGTAAGTTATTACCTACCTTAAGTTTGGAAATATTTTGTACGTAATTAGAAATTAAAAACAAAAAACAATCTGTTTAGCGAGATGGTGTAAACTTTGGGTTGTATAGTTGCGATTGGACGGCAATGGATAAACGTTTTAAAAAGTTGATTATTTTAGCAATGGCAATGAATAATGCGAATCAGTTGAAAATCAAAGCCACGCCGAACCGAGTCATCAACTTGGAGTTGTTTTTAGTTGTAAGTTTCGAAATATTTTAACATTAATTATGAGCATTTATTGATTAGGTTTTCATTTTTCACCGATTCATGTGTTTTTGTATTCAGAAAATATATGAATTCGCTATGTGCCGCAAAGATTTGTGTTCAGAGATTCAAATGGTGTAGGAATGCTATATTGCTATATAAAGCAAAAATTTAAAAAAAAAGTGGCTAGTTATTTCTATTAAATACACTAAAAGATTACACATTTTCATTAAATAATAAAAAATAACTCTATGTATATATATATTAATTTGATATCAAGCAGGTATCTTAAGTGCGTTTACATTATCTAAGTTGATTTAACTTTATTTTTTTAGGTTTTACGCACATCATACACTATTTTATCGTTTATGGTTAACGCCAAGTTGTCAAGTTCGGATAATGTTAATTAACATTCAGTTAAAGAAAAACAGATATCCAAGTAGCCAAGTTCAATATTGTAATAGCAGCCGGGCAATCAAAATATATTGGCATAATGTAGTATTAAGTATAGCGCATGCACACCTGATAGTGGTTTAACATTAATTATATTATATTATATTATTATTATAAATTGTTTATTACAATTAACAATATTAGAGAAAAGTAAGTTGTAAAGTACTCATACCTGGTACTTATTACGTATTTAAAGTTATACACTAGTGGAGTTATAATACTGTCTTTAAAGCAGATTTATTTTACATAAATTGTAGTAGCAAGTAATTGTTTAACTAATGCACGCAATGTTTAAAATATTCATTAATTTGTAGTGAATTTTTTAAAAACTATTTTATGTATTTGTCTGTCTCATGACCTAGTTTAAAAGGTAAACATTTTATTGTTCTTTTAAAAAAAATTATTTAAAAATACTTAAAATAAACAACAGTACTAAAATTATAATTTATATGTTAAACTGTATACTTAATGTATAGTTCAGGAATTATTATTTTTAAAAATGTTAAACCAATGTAGTGAGAATCGCCAAACATGAATTACACAATGTATTGTAAATTACTACGACTTACCTACAATTATACTCTCATGCTGTGTTATGTGTAGGCTAGTTTTTAGTTTAATATTAAAATTAAACTTATGGTTTTACATTCAAGACCAAACATTTGAATTACAGTCTTTCGGATTGACGACTTTTTAAACAAAAGCATTTATCTTGTAGTAGGTATGTCTCAGAATATAAGGTACTAGGTAGCCATATACCATCGATGTCTTGGGAAAAACAATGGATGGTGTTCTTTTCATTTTTTTTATTTCTTACCATCGTAAAAATACAGTCCTCGTGGTCCCATTAATAGTATGTTAACGACATGTTTCAATTCGTTGTGAATCATTGATTTCCTTGTCATTTCTTTGAACCGGTTAAAAAGTTTGTTAATCTTAAAATTGTTATAATTGATTTGGTTGTAGGTAATTGCAGTATTGCGTTTTAATTATTGTGTGTTATTAATAAATATCTTCAACATAAGACATTTAATGTCTTAATTAATAACAACAACGTTATTAGTAAACATTTTCTCACCCTCCCCCTCCCCCTATGTTAACCTATAACAGATCACAGTTACAAACATCCGAATACTAATATTTAATAGTGGTGTTAAATGCGAAAAAGTGCATTAAAAAAAAAACTTTAACTAATCATTGTAAAATTTTACTAATAGCCAAGTGATACACCAACTGCATAGCCGATGTAGTAGTATATTAATAATACAATAACATTCAATATTCTATATAACATAGTCACGACCTAAGCTTAACTATTAAATCCAGGTCTGTTATTATTTTCGGTTTCTAGTTCGCATCGATTTGCCGGCTAACGTATCATTTTGTGCATTTCAGTAGTCTATATAGACTACTCACTTCCTTAGTTCGCCAAGCAAAAGTTACATTTCAATTGACGTGAATTTTTTATATGACCTTTTAGAATACTTTTCACAAGCTAAAATCATCATAACGTTTAAATGGTCAAATATGCTCCCACCACGCCTACTACTTATAACATCATGAATTGAAAAAAACAAAATACTGCCTTACTTGCTCCTCTCGTATTGTTCAGTTTGCCAACCATTGCTTTCTTCATTCTATGCTTGTCAGTTGTCAACCACATCAATACATTGTTACTCGTTCCAAGTCCTAACCTGTACTCAAGTGGACAGCTATCAGCAATTTTGGAAAACATTTTTGTGTTCGTGAAAGAAACGTATTTATATCTAATACATGTACAACAATTTCGTAAGTTTTATGCTCTTATAGATTTTAGTTCATCAAAAAATATAATATAATTTAGTTGTTTGAAAAATAGTTTTTTGAATGTTTAAAAACAATTAATATTATTTTAGAAAATGTTGTTGACAGCTTATGAGAATTTTATTAAAACAATATTATTTAAATTGCGAGGAATTTTCATAGATGAGTTCCATCAGCTACAATGACGAAAAAAACACAATTTAATTAATAATGTACGTTTAATTAACCGTAAACCGCAACAAAATAAATTTTCATAATAATAATTGTACGTCTTTTTTTTTTTAATGTATTAAAATAATTTAAGCATCTGGTAAATTTAGGTGAGCCCTAATCGGTGACCCCAGATGCTGCTATTGGTTTTACAATGATGTGAAAAAAATTGTGTCTGTGTTTACTGTCTTATTTCTTCGAGTAGCCCCATAAATATAATATAAGAGATCTTTATAATTTTAGTACAATATTCATTTACTTACTTTTATTCATTCTGTTATGACCAAACTTCTTTAATCCCGATATTATAGTTCTGTATTGGGCAGCTATTGCCGTGCAAATTGTGAAATAAAATATATCAAAACTAAGCATAAATAAGGCAATCGTCGTGACAAACATGGTTGTCAACGACATAACTAAGAAAAAAATATTTATTGTAGGATTTTTTGGAAAGGGGAAGGTAAAAATTGGTTACACTTAAACGTTGGAAATCGGTCAGAACATGTTTAGACATTGTACAATTATATACAAGAGAGCAAAATATCCATACAACCAAGTTGAACATGGATAGAAATAGGTAACGTTTACAGAACACCATATTTCGACTTTGGAGGTTTACACTTTCGCAATTTAGGATTTTCAATTTTAAACTTTTCAAAAAATTATAACGTGTAATATCGAAAGTTTTTAACATTCGATTAGCTTTAAGCAATATTATGGTAACTTTAAACACAGACATTAAGTAGTTTATGTGGACCGTTAAAACTGCAACTGTGCGTTTGCTTTCAACAGTATAAAATTTCCAATTGTAAAATAGACCATAAGCACTGTACATAAAAACCATGAGCGATAATGCAACAATTATTAGGAAAATTCTAAGTCTTGTTTTAAATAGTGAAACAAATGATTTATGCAGTTTAATAAACTGCACATAATCGTCATCACTTCTACCAATTCGTGCATTGGCCATGTTTCTCTTATTAAAACGCCTGAAACATAATAAATGTAAATACCTATAAATGTACATAAATACTACTGGTTAGGTGTTTACATGTTTTTTAGCCTCAAATTTTACATTATATGACCATAATATAGTAATACCTTACATCTCTTTCTTTTTTTTTCTCTCTACCGTAGATATAGTTTTTAATTTTATAACAATAATTGTTACTATTATCATTGTTGTTTGATATTTCATTGTATAAATTATCACAGTTCTTATGATGTTTTATAATCTTGCCCTCGAGGCGTATAAATATATAAATATAAATATCAATAAATATGAATATAATATGAGTATAATATGAATATTATAAAAAAAAAATACTATTAAAAAAACCAGTACAGTGGGGTCGGAGCATAGTGGGAACGGAGCATAGTTGGGTCGGGGCATAGTGGGGACGGGGAGGTCACAGGTTTCCAGGAATTTTTAAATCTAAAAGTCATAAAATCACTTTCGAAAAAACGCTTCGATGCAAATCGGTAGTTAGTATTTTCAAGCCAATACAGTCCAAACCAAGCACATGTATAAACCAGCAAAGTTAGAAAGTATTAAATTAAGGTGCTGTATTTACAAATAAACATCAAGCGTTTATTTGAAAGTGATTTTATCCGAGATTTTATACCTTACTGTACTCTGGTTTTTTCTTATTTGTTTTTAATTTCAATCACCCATTACGGAGTTTAACCATCAAGATGCGTTACCTTGGTTTTCTATAAGTTAGTTTAGTTTTGTAACTTAAAATTTTTACCAATACACCTAAACAGTTATTTTATAAAACTTTAATATTATTAAATTTAATTTTCAACAGAATTATATGGTGTATGGTGTATCTACAGTTGACTAATATTTTAATCAAATAAAATTGATTTTGTACATCCTAAATTCTTCATACTATCTTTATGGCTAACGATTAACTTGCAGTTTACAAAAGCATAACGTTTGTTGATTTTTCTATGAGAAAAATTGCATTTACATATTTTGCCCCACTCATTAACAGTATATTCCACATTTGACTTCTTCTTATTACTAACTTTGAGGCTAACCATTATCTACAATAGTATGCCACAGTAACTAAAAAATTTAAATAATGACATTCAACTCAGAAAATTACAAAGGACTAAAATGTTCTTAGTGCCACGCGATGTAGCATAAAGGTAATAATTATTATTTTTATACGTATTTTTAAGAGTAATCCTTTAATTGTATTCAAATAAAATGAAAATACCTTATACATAAACTTAACTTAGTATATGAATTGTACTTTTTATGTCTTAATGAAATAACAAAAAAAAAGTTCAGTAACAATTTGTTATTTATTTTATCTTAGATAATTGAAAAAGTTAGATATTTACAAACGTAGTGCCAAATATTTAGGTGTCGTAAACATAATTATTTATATTTTTGTTCTTTAAAATTAATTCTTTTGAACACTTAGTTTACTCTGGTTTCTGTTATTGATTATTGTAATGAGAAATTTTGGTTTTATAGAAATTTAAGGTATCCAAACTAGAATAGAATAACAATAATAATTTGAATTGGAAAAATCTTTTTAAAATGTCAGTTACCATGTTTGTTCACTGGCACTTCTAATTAAACTATATAACATCTTTAGGTTTTGATTCTGCAATCAGTGTTTGCTTCGCAGTATTGATATACCTACGCAGTCGTTTGTTAGGTGGCAGGTTGTTAACAACAGGTTCCAATTGGTTTATTCCGAGATCGTAATAGTCATTATTGGTGACGGTGTTATAAAAAAACTTGAGATAGTTATTCATGTGAAAATGAAAATCTTTTAGACGTTGTGGCTCGTCGAGATTGGCGAAATTGTTAAATTTAACGTAGACATTTGATAAATCGTCAAAATCCGCCACTTCAAAAACACAATACTTTCCTATTATTTTGTTGAAAGATACTTTTTCTACCGATTCTCTTATTAAAATAGATATTTCATGGTTCATCAGTGCGAGTGAGTTTTCGTTAATTATAACATCTTCCTTAATGAAAACTTCGTTTGGATGCAAATCAATGAATTCTTTTACAGCTGATTGTATTTGAACTGCAAGGAGACAAATTTTGTCGCCATAATAAAATATGAAAGGCTTTGGAAACTTTTCCAACAATACCAAACCGTTTACTATATTGTTAATCATACGCATAGAAGCTTTGATCGAATCATACAGCTTCGTTACGCAATCAGCGAAATCCAACTTATTTTTGTACTCGCCCGCCATATTATAGTTACTACAGCTTTGCCAGAAACCATGTAAAATGTTCCAAAATTCCTCTAGTCTTTGAGCGTACCTACAGCCTAATAGTAAACTTAGTTGTTGTACTTTATTTATGTAGTTTTCTTTATTGATCAAATCTTTTGTTATTATTTTAGCATCCAACTTGTCAAATTGATAGTGAATGTTCAGGTTTTCCATTAAGCTCCAACCTTCTCGCGTTCGAATATAATTTAAAACTTCTATCAACTCTGTCCTTTTTTGTTCAGGTAATTGATATGCCACAACAGTTAATGGAACAAATATGAACAACTTACAAAGAACCACAATTAACCGTTTGTAATACATTTTTGCGAATAAAATATTATTTACAGTGTAAATTTTGGATTTTTTACCTACTTGTATACTTGTACCATATGTATTCAGCGTGCGTTTAAAAAGTAAATAACTTGTTTTCAACATAGTATTGACATAGAAGTAAACACCTAAGTCATCCGATGTATATTTTATCGCGTAGATGATACTTAGCAAAATTATGATACAAAATATTATGATACCGGGTGATTGGTTTACTTTGAGCCAAAAATCATAAAATATTTCAGACTATTTAAAATTGATTATCTTTGATGTGGAGCTGAGAAACATTAGAACTATAATAGACAGAACTCTTTTTTGATGCGAACAACACTTGTTATAGTTGTTTAGCCGTTTTATAACTTTTATAAAAACTAAAAACTCTATCCCGTTACGTCACTAAATGAAATGTGTGCATAATAAATATAAATATCAATAAGCTTAAAATTAATTCCAAAACAGTTTTGATTTACTTAAATTATCGTCAAAAGTACGTTTGCCACTAATCCAAAAAAATAATTACATATTTATGTAACTTTAATCAAAACATGTAATTATTTCCTGGGAATCGTGAATTATTATTAAGTTGAGAAATAATTTCTAATTTATATTTCCTGAAATGAGTTCAATATTAATATTGTAATACAATGTGATTCTTTTATCATGGGCCACTCAATATATCTCATAGGGTTTAAAAAGAAATTAAAAAAACATTATTTTCATATTAAAAAATATCGCAAATGCGATGTTACAGTTTACAACTTCGATACAACGCATAATACAGCAGAGCTTTCACTTGGGACATTCGATCGTGACAATCGTTGCAAAATTCATCATTAAAGACAAACGACATTTTACCAGACTATCGAGATGGTTACCGAAATGCTGACGATAGTAATGTAATAAGATTGAACCCGACCTTAAACAGATTTTTACATCATCTGGTAAAATCAAATTTGGTACCGTTCGCAAATGCCTACTGTACATTAACGGATAACGTCAAGATGTATGAGCCCAGCGAACGTATGGGTATGATTGTTGATTATGACATACCAGCTGTCGGATTGAAAATTAAAAAACTAGTGGAAGAGGTAGTAAACAGTTACATAAATTGGGTTTCCGGTTTTGTCTTGTTGTTAATTAACAATTATTCATGTTATAATTTTTCCACGATATTTTTATATTGATTATATCAGCGCTTGGTAGTGAGTTTCGAGACTTTGAATTCAGACTGTGTACCCGCTTATCTTTCTGTCAGCACTTTTAACACAGAATAAACAGAAAAGAAACTATCCAATTTTTACATGAGCTCTTATGGGACGAGGTAAGATAATGTCTGACATCTTGAAAAAGGTCATGAAATGAACAGTGCTAGTAGGTGTAGGGAAATTCTCATTTTTCGTTCATATAATCATAATACACAAAACCAATCTTTTACTTGCCTATTCAAATTTTGTCACTTTATGCAACAAAAAGTAATCAACTTTTGTGTAGTGACTATACATGTATATATTATTAATTTGATGTGTAGGTTTGAAACTATTTTTAACATTCCAAATAAGTCTTACAGTCATGTTAATAATATTTAATATGCATTTAAAAAAAAATCCACTATACTCAATAGATAATACAACTGATATTTAATATACTTAAATTATGTCTAACAAAAAATGCAAAATAACGTATTTCGACTTGTGCAAAGTTAGATACTAGATTTGGCCGTGATCATAAACTATACATTAATACGCTTCGGTCAGAAAGCTCATTGCTAGTGCATAATCAAAAGAACCCAACTTAGCTTTCAACTGATAAAAGTTATCGGCAAATTCTTTGAGAAATGCCATCATCGCATCGTTGCTTAGTTCATCGTGTACGTTAACACTGATCCAATCGCTTCCGTTCGGATTCCTCCCGTTTAACTCGACTAAACTGTCTTTGGCTCTTGTCGATATTCTATCTATAAGGTGGCCAAAATTTGTGTCTTGGGGCATCGTCCAACAATACTGTGTCACTATATCGTAGAAAAACGTATCGGTATATTCCATAAATTCGAAAACCGTATTGACCGTATCGATTGTCTCCTTGTAAACCGTACTGAATGTGTTTTCGTCCATGTTGGGCATTTTTTTATCGAAAGCTACCAACATTACCCACAGAAAGATGTACGCTCTGGCGTTGATTATTCGTTTGATCAACTCGTGGTAACCGACGTGCCCAAACGGTCTCGAAATCCATTGGCGGTTTACAATGTATTCCTTGGTTTTATCGACTTCGACCGCGTGCCGTCTTATCGTCGGCCTCCATTCTACGACCGAGCCGGTTATTTGACTGAACAAAAATTCGTGTTCGTCCCATAACGGTTTTAGATACAAACAGTCGATCGACATGTCCAGTATGACGTTAACATAACCCACAGCAATGGTTACGGACGACCCAAGTTCTCGAAAGATGTTGACTGGCACTTGGGAATTTGTCGACACCAATTCACGCTCTGTTCGGTTTTTGGGTAGGTATTTCTTGTCCTTGCAGTATTGTATAAAATCCGTGATGCCGCTTTGCAATTCGTCTTGGTCGTCGAAAGGGGTTCTCCCTAAGAAATTGTTGTTGCTTTCGAATTCAATGATTGCCAAGATTTTCAACAAGTAACTCCAAAACCATTTACCCGCTTTGACTTGGCCTCTTTGAAACATCAGCACTAGAAGACCCGCTTCTTGTTTCAGTATGTTCAATTTGTCCATCGCCACTTCTATTGCTCCGCCACTTCGCAAGCCGTCCAGGATATTCGACAAGTACGCCAGTTTCGTTTTCACGATGACTGAGCAAGTACATTTTATGTCTTGGATTTTTCTGGCAAACTTATCGAACACCCCGTTGCGGCCTTTGGTGTCGTTGTACGTGTTAATTGGAGTTGTCAGAATTGTACGTTCTCTGTCACTAAATTTGATTTCATGCTGGTTGTAGGTTATCAGTTTATTCACTGTATTAACGAATGAAACAGTGAATGTTTGATTGACGTAATATGTCGGCGCAACCTATAAAAAAAAATATATATATATGTATTCAATATTCATATATACAGGTTAATTAATTTTGGGTGAGACACCATCATTGTCTTGGAAGATATTAGTATTTTGAAAAAGCCAGTGCAATGCGGTCGCGGCATAGTGAGGACGGGGAGGTCACAGGTTTAGAAGAACTATTTAAACCGAAATGGATAAAAATCACTTTCGAATAAACGCTTCGATGCGAATCAGTAGTTAGTATTTTCAAATCAGTAAAGTCCAAACCAGTAAGAAACAATTAAAGTGAGGTGCAGTGTTTTTCAAATTAGCATCAAAACGTTTATTTAAAGTGATTTTATCCGAAAGGACTAGTACAGTAGAGTCGAGACATAATGTAATCAATTTAAACGCTTTGATGCTAATTTGTAAACACTGCAACTCAATTTTCTATTTCTCACTAAATGAAAATATATAGTTATTTAAATACTAATACAAAAACTATTCGAAAGAATTCAAGCGGTAGACAATAATTGAAAAAATCAAAATCAAAACGTTAACGATAAACCAACATTGGGTTGCCGTTACGAAGGGACGGTGGGCCGCGGGTAAGAAAATAACATGCTTACAGAACACGACGGTAGTTTTGCCATGTCAAAACAATAAAGAGTCTTATTATAAGTAGACGAGTCGGCTTTTTTCTCAATAAACGACGATTACAGTAGATACACGATTTAGTCGTTTGTGTTATCATGTAACAAACACAATATTATCATACTTACCGTTTCAGTTCGATTAAACTTTACTCTTACACCACACGCGGGTCGACGTTACCAACCGACAGTTATTAGCGTCTTTTCGTTTATGACATCTGGTACACCGTGTTAGTAGTTATCATAGTAGAACCAATAACTTGCTTTGCATCGAAGCTAAAACATTTTTCTGGATCTTTGTGTAAAAGTCCTTAAAAGTGGTCAAATTATCCCGTAGGGGGATGGGAAATAGGTATAATTTAAATTTGAGACTACTGACGGGTGGTGGCATACCAAATAAATATTCCTTATAAATTTCAACTAGATCACCGACTCTTTTTCTCGAAATTGTAGCCAGTAAATTTAAACTAAAACACAATTTAAGTTAAATTGTGAAGAAGAATACTTTTTTAACTTTTACTCCACCCCCCTCCTCCCCCAATGTGCAACTAGATGAAATTTGTGATGTATAGAGTGTCTACTGAAAGTATTGGTCCAGTATTAAAAACCTTACAGTGTATACAGACATAAAAAAAGCCCACATTATAGTAAACCAAAATCATCTCTGCTGCGCATCGAAGCTAAAAAAAAATGTCCACACACTTTCGTACTACATTTTTCAATATTTTGAAAATTGTCATCATCAAACCTTATATAAAAATAGTTGTACTTGTTTTTTTTTTTTTAATGACACACGTGTATTTAATTCACACAAAAGATTTTGAAATAATGATAGACAAGATGCGGTTCTTATTTACCGACTATGAATATCTAAAAGTATAGAAAAAAATTGTTTCAAAATATTAATACCTTGCGAGAAAATTAGTGTGTTACCCAAAATAAATAATCTGTATACGTAGTTTTATATTTTTGTTAAATTCCATGTACATAAATATTTTATTAAAATTTTTAATTAAGATTAGTTTACTAAAATTGTTAACCTGTCAATAATACATTTCTTTCGTGGTGGTAAATATATATGTAAATATTTTACCTTAATACTATTAGTCAACCTTCTAGTAATCAGACGATAAGAGGGGATGGATGGGTATGTTAGCTGAAATCCTGGTTTAATGTTATTGCTGACTGGGAACAAGTCTAACAAATGTTTTATATAAATTTCGATTTTTGTGGCTAAATTGTACTAATTTAAAGATACAAGAAATGAGAAAATTTTGGGCTTTTTTAAATTTTAAATGATTTAAGAACGAACTTTTAAGATTGTGGAAAACAAATTATGCTTACTTTACTTGTTGATTCAATCACCATAATGTTGACCGCTAGTATGATATATAATGACAAAAAAACATAGTTGTGTGTGGTCATTTTTTAAATCGTTCCACTACACAATTAGAATTTTTCAAAATGTAATTACAATAAAGTAGCTACGGTATCCGAGTGCTGGGAATAACGTTTTACATTGGTAACCTAATATTTTTGCAGTCACTCGAAACATCTTAAGCAAATAATTTTGTTTGTTTAGCGTATTTAGTAATTATTATAATTGTCTGGTGAAATCCAGACCTTTAGACAAAATAAAAATAGTCTGATTCACATATTGTATTTGATTTTACACTGTTTACTTATAGAATGACGTCTCATTTTTGTGTGCACATGCTATATATACACCCTAATAGTGTTGGTGTCTAATTGTGTAGTTAGAGAAATCTGAATATGTAATAGATACCCGAGGAGCAATTAGGGAACATTAATGTTCAAAAATTACACAAAATGTATTTCAAACACATAACATTATGATCATTCTATTTTAATGTTGTTTGAAAATATTATATAAAAGCCGTATTTTATTTTTATGTTTTTTTACACATTGTAAATGAAATATTAAAAAAATACAAATTAGAAACACATTTCGAGTATAAAGAGGTGTAGTGCATTATAGGGCAAGAGCAATGCATTTTGTTGGCGATTTGAGAACAAGGAGGGTATATGTGTAATGACTAGTGGAATTATGTACCTATTTTTGTTATTGTGTGTTTTCGCTATAATTAAAAACGTGGTTTATGCCAGGCAAACAGCCATCTTTGAATTAATTTTAAACAGTCCAAACAAAAAAAAATGATACGATAGCTGATAAGATGGTTTTTGAAATGATATAACAATTATAATAATACCGCGAGAAAATCTGTAAAATATAACCAAAAAACATAAAAAAATAAAAACAGCCATATATCTTTTATATTTATTTTGTTTATTTAGTGTTATATTGCCATAATATAAATTAAAAAGACAGTGAGAACTCATATAAATGTTAATAGTTAATATTTTGCGGAAGACGGACATTCCATACAAAAAACGGTTCTGTCGTCGTCTTTGTTGTCAATAATAACGATGGCGTCATCCGAGGAATCACATGGTTCGACATGGCCATGATCAGTGGATCTCCTAAAAAATTACATTTAAATTATTTAAATATGGTATTCACCCGATCGGAGGAAAACCACAAATATCTGTTTTTCTATTGTGTGCGCTGCATATTATGTTGTTACTTATTAGATAGTATACAATTATTGCACACTAAATTATTAGGTAAATGATAAAGGAAAACATGACTAAAAAAACGAGTGAGCCGTGGAAATTACTTACAATAGTTATGTGTAAACGTACTTATAACGGGTTCTACCTGAAATACAATTAAAAAATAGCAGAACTTATCATGTGCGTGAACTTTATTGAGATACGATTAATATTATTTTATATATTTGATATTATTGGTTTATGATTACTATAATACGATACATAAATACGAGGCTGTAAGTTGTTAAATTTTCGCTGAACAACAATATACTATAACTGAATATCTATAAACTATCTCTTCGCTAAACTAGTCTCGGTCACTCAATAGAACTTGTGGCACCTGTGCAGAAAAGAAAGACTCATTAACCTTAATGCCATAATATTTATATAGTGGAGTGTCAATTAGACGGCTGAGCCAATCTTTTACTACGCGTTTCCGGACAAACCCTATTAGGTAATTTGAACGGTGAATTTTCTTTTTCTTGATGTGAACGTTGATACTATAATCATCATCCAGCTCACGAGGCAGCAGGTTGACCATTGTATTTACATCTACTGGCACGTTGAGTATTTGTCCAAGAACCACGTATAGGCCATTTCCATGACGAAGCCTTCTGATTGTCATAAACGGAAGTCTTGGCGAGACCAATCGCTCGGTGATTAAATCCAAGTCAGGCAGATGTGGTGGTCGCAATGGATACGTAAAACCATTCGACTTAGATAAAGTAGGTATTTTTAGTTTTTTAAGTGTGGCATAATAAGTGCTACATACAAGAGACGATTCGACGTTAATACCAGGAAATTCACATAAAAGAACATCTTTTGAACAATGTGGAGGTTTTTTTAAATCGTTATCATACTACAATCTACCACATACACTACATACAGCACCAAAGTTATTGTTTAAGAACCTCGATTTAAATTGAGCGTGAGCTTTGGAATGTGAATCATATGGGGCGACAGTGATATATTCTAAAGTTTCAATAGTAGTTCTATCTTCTAATGATTGTTCAAGTTCTGATGAAGTTGATAACATTTATTGAGGCGAATGGGATATATGTGGAGAATACATTATTGGCAATGTAGTGGAAGTACTAGTTGATACTACTTGAGAAGTTCTAAAAATAGATTTTTGGCGCTCTTTGAATTCTTTTTGTTTACCCACGTTTGTTTTAGGCATAGCTAAAATGTTACAAAAATATGTTTAAGGTGAATCGGAATCGAACTCCGGTTTATTTATTTTACGTTATGGCCTAAATATATAAATATACCTATTTTTAAAAAAAATGTTTAAATAGCAATGATGTGTAGATGTTAATTATTTAAATTTAATCACACAAAGAAATAACATGGAAGAAAAGAGAGAAAAAACTAAAAAAAAAGTTTTCGGATTAAACGGATTGGAACTCCGGTCCGTGAGCGTCTCTTACTGTGCTGCGTTACGCACTTGTCGATACATCTAATTTAGTTAAATAGATACAATTATTCTTAGCACATCATTAATAGATTTTTTTTTCGTTTTGTTCTAATTTTTTTTCTAATTTTTTATTATTTATATCATCACTGTTTATTCAAATTAAATTTTTTATTTTTTATTAAATAATTACCTAATCATTTTTCGTTACGGTCTATAAAATGTACGATACACATATTATATAATATTATATTAAGTATATTACCTAATTCTAATTTTCTATTCTATTTTACTTTTGTGTTTTATTTAATTAATAAAATACTTACTTGTACATTATAATTTTACTTATATAATATAATTATTATTTTATAATTTTTACATTTTAACAGTAATAAAATTATTAGACAAAACAACTTTAAACTTAACCCTTGTGTTGTTAGGTGATGACAATATAAATAACAAAATTGTATTGGCATAGATTAAAGCTAGTCTTATGAAAAATACAGAGGTACCGTCAAAATTGGTTCAACGTAATTTTTTAGTATATTTTACATTGTCATTTCTTCACAACCTGTCACGAATTAATCCCATCTGTCACATCAATATCTGTGACCATATTTTGTTTCTATTACACACATAATTAAGACAATCTACAGCACCGCTCTGAAAATCGGCTGCGCTTTCAAACTATCACCTTGTATGTATACAATATAATAATATGTAAGTATGACACGGCTGTGGCCGGTAGCCACTCTCCAAAATCGGCAAACCATTGAAAATCTATCATTTTCAGCGTATGTGACTTTGTACTTGACAGGGTAAATATAATAAAAATCAATTATACAAATTTGGCATTAGCTCAACAAAGGTACTATCGTTTCTAATAACAGCCTATAAGAAGTTACCTGAAGACGACGGTTCGTTTGAATGTATAAAGGCGTACGTCGGATGTCCACTGACAAAACAAATGTTATTAAATTAATATTTTACAAGTACCGTATAGAAACAATAATGGAAAAATAAATTCACAATGAAAGTAAATAAGACAACAAAATATGTACAGTGATCAATAATTAATAAAGAAAAAATGTATGCTTGAATAAAACATTTATTCATATATTATGTATTGGTTGTTTTAAAATAGCAATCTGATTTCAATGAAAATTGATAGTTTTATTATAAGCCAATATAATAATAATAATAACGTTTATGAATAGCTACTTAAAAAACAGCACAGTTACATTTTTGAAAATTTTACATTAGTCGCGATTAATAAATTTATAACGCCTTATGGTTTCACAAGTCCTAATATACTAAATACCAATCTTTGGCTTCCAATATTTGTGCACAAGGCGAAGATGCTACTAGATACCTATTGTTGTGCACTTCTCTAATTTAACGTTTCACCTGTCCATTTTTCTAGGTGTAAAACTAGGTTTTCCTAAACATCACCTTATATTGTTCGAAATTGATGTTAAGTTTTTAGAATTTCTTGACTTTAAGACAATCATATTAAACAACTTAGAAAGTAGTGGTTTTTAATCGTTGATAATTTTATTTCTTTTTCACTCGTTTCATTTTTTTTTTATCTTCAATAATATATGCGATACGGTTCGGTATTTATTTTTATATATATTTTGTATTCTATCGCACATGCAATATTTTATAAAATATACAGTTGTATACACTTAAAACTAGGTCATAAGCATACATACTTGGTGCGAAAACACATAAGCTAACGATAAAGTTGCAATAGCAAAATAGCAAAAAACCATTTTCATTTACTAGCTGGTCTCGTAACACAAGCCACGTATATATTTTGAATTATGTTATCAACAAATATTATACTACTATTGTGTGTCGTGGGTTTTAAAGCGGATGATGGTCCTTCTTGGACGGTATGTATCAAAAGTTCAGAAATATTAATTAAACGCTTACAGTAAACATGTCTTAAATAACATAAAATCTTATTGCCGTAAAAATATATTATGGACGGTAACATATTTCCGATATAAATTGTAATGATTATTGTATAAATGACATTGTAAGCAGAGTGATGCAAATTGTTAATCGATTAATTGGAATTAAAATTTTTATTATTATTTTTGAAACCATTAGAATGGTTTTTAAATGAATAACAGCACCAAATAAACACATCAAAATCTGAAAAAATTAAATCATTTGTTTTGTTATAAATGTAAAAAATAAATACTTTATGCTTTTAACTTATCAACTTAATTTATTTTCCTTTCTTAATAAAATTATTCCCAGAAAATTAACTGTACATATTATTCTAGAATATAAATCCAAATTTGAATAACTTGTCAACGAAGAAATGGAAGAAAATATTTAACCAATACGACAGCCTGAATGTAGGTTTAATCTCTGCAACGGAATTACAGAAACTATTATACGGAGAGTTCCAAGTATTTCTCACCATTCGCCAAGCAAATGAATATACATATTTAATTAATTTACTAAGTAATAAAAAAAAAACATAATCTAAGAAATATTCATTCAACGAGTGCCTTAATTATTTTCAGAAAACCATGAAATAGGATTGAAACAGGTGAAAAAAATGGAACCGATAATACATATTTTGTCTCAGGTTTGTTCAGTTTTTTTGTTAATGTGTAGGCTGATCTATTTATTTAAATGTTGCAGATTTTGCGGTTATTATACCATTGTGTAATATTATAAAATAACTAAGTTTTAAAAATTTTAGAAGATCTACAAACTTTAAAAATTATAATGATAATGAAAATATGCTTATAACATTTTATGATAAGAGTAATTAGCTTAACATGTTTAATCAACCTATTCATACTTAGCCTTTTAGAATTTTGTAAGTTTTGATGCTTTCGGTCGATGTATCTCAACCCCATAGAACTTGATACTTGTTTTGGTTGTAAATGAAAGTTTTAATATCTAACTAAACAAATATTTCAAATAAACATTATAGAAAGTCAAGCCAAATTATAAGTTAAGCGAATCGTAACTTTTTTTAACACTTTTTAGCTTCGATGCAGAGCAGCGAAGGTGTTGGTTTTACTCTGATGTGGGCTTTTTTTTCATCTGTATACACTATAACTTTTTTAATACTGGACCAACTCCTTCAAGTAGCCACTCTATAAAATACTAATTTCATCTAGCTGGTACTTTGGGGGGTAAAAAGTGAAAAAGTTTACTTCTTCATAGTCGAAATTTGAGAAGAAAAAAAAACCGGTACGAGTTTTTAAGTTAGAAATTTTACTGGCCATAATTTCGAGAAAAAGAGTTGGATCGAGTTGAAAAGTATATAGAATCAGAATCTCACGGCATGTATATTATATTATATACAGAGTGATTCATTAATGATAAGACCACTTAAAAATTATTTTAATTTACGGAAAAACCAAAGCACAATAACATATTTTTCTCGATATTTTCGTTTGCCGTGGTAGAGTTTACTTACGGCGTTCTCTTTTTTTTATGTATTTTAGCGCTAGTTTAAATTATATTTCACGTGCCATGCAAAGAGACCTTATGTACAACAATATGTTTTTCAACGATGGTGACGCTTTTTATAATTAATGACTACTGCCTTTACGAATCCGTAAAACGCAAAGAAAGTTTTAATAAAAAAAAGCCCTTGTGTGAACAATTACTATCAATACCTACACATATTAAGTATGGCTACTGACGGAATATTCATATGGCTATATACCATTACAATGGGGTTGGGACTTAGTTGGACCAAACTGACTGAATGTGATAAAATCATTTTCAAACAATTGTTTCGATAATACTCTTGTAATGGCAATAATGATTAATGAGCTTAATATTGTATTTTTACTATAGAAGTGTCTACAGAGCCCAGAGGGTAAACCACTCTTGGGAATCAGTGTACAAATCTCCAGACATCTTTGGAAATCTTAATCTGTTGTACAAATTATTTAATAGTGGTCTACGATTAGAGCTGTTCTTTTTTATGCAATTTTTTTTAACCTTTCTTACCGATATCTTGTAACCAATAATATATAATGCAAATATGTTTCCGCCACCTGTTGACTGTTGATACAATCTCAGTCGTTTACGCCTACATGCGTACAACCAACATAGTGTAATTTGTGTGATTGGTTTTACCTTAAAAAAAAAATATATCCACTACAGATTTCTAAGAAATGTTTTTACGACGATATAGCCTCATTCTAGAAAAATCTTTGGCATACTGAAGAATCCTCCAGTAGCCAAAAGCAATCAGAAAATATTTAAAAATGCCCATCGCTTCCGCAAAATTTTAAAATAGTTTAAATGGCGGCAACTTGAAGGAAAATTTTCAAAAAATTAGTGGTCTCGTTTTATAGACCAATTTGAACCAACAAGTCCACTGGTCATCAGAATCTCACGGCTTGTATATAATATGATATACAGAGTGATTCATTAATAATTAGACCACGTATAAATAATTTTAATTTTTACAAAGTCAGGTTTTGTAAAATTTCGCACATCGACGCATGTGTTTGAATAGTGACACCGAGTACAAAAAGTAAAAAAAAATTTTTAAATATGATTTGGTATTCAAGTATTGTTCATCAAATTTGGGTCTTATCGAAAAAAAACATTTTTTTTTCTCGCGTTCACTCGAAAACACAATTTCTTTACTTTAGAAAAACACTTTGGTGATATTTCGATGTACGTTTCCATTTCCACTATTTATATAAATAAAAATAATAATAATATAGTAACCGTTTACATACAATTTTTTTACAAGTTCAAAACACTGTAACTATTATTTAGATAGCTACTAGGCTATCTAAGCTTGCGTTATAATAATGTGAAAATATTCGATTTTTACATTAATTGTATTGAATATTAATGACTATTTTTAATTATTTAGTTACACTCTGTATGAAACTCTCTAAATCTCATATTTCATCAAGTTGGTACTTTGGGGGGTTAAAAGTTGAAAAAGTTTACTTCTTTACAGTCGAAACTATACGAGTAAAATAGAACTTATACTGGCTATAATTTCGAGAAAAAGAGTCAGATCTAGTTGAAATGTATATAGAATATTTATTTGGTAAGCCCGCACACGTCAGTTGTATCAAATTGAAATTATACTCATTTCCCACCTCCCTAGGGGGGCGGTACAAGTGTTTTGTTTTTTTAGTTTTTAGCCGTATTTTTACGACCTTTAAGTTGAAAATTTGTCAGTAGTTAGAACACATATGTATTCAAAACATATTAAACGGAAAACAAATTCGGCACTACACGGTGTATCTGGTGTGAGAAACGAAAAAAATAGTGTTATTTTTGTTATATTGGCATCATCGTGTACCCGAACGCCATGTTGTTGCACGCTCTTATCTGCTCTGAAATGATATCAGTTGATACAGAACATTGTATATTTTTTTATATATATATTTTTTAAATCTCATCTACTAAAACGCTTGTTTTTATTCTGGTTGTAACATGTATTGTGGAGTCAAACGTTTATGACGTTGTTTGAGGATTACATTATCAATTTTTATTATTTAATAAAAAACCAATTTGTCAACATAACTTAATTAATAAGTTACGGTTGATAGTAAGTTGATTTGAACAGAACTCTACGTTTGCGGATTGACTGAATTCAAACTAACCTGCACATAAAATTGTTGTATCTAAGCCTTACCAAAAAAGTCATTATTAAATTGAAACAATATATGCTTATTAATTTTTTTTTTTTTTTTTAGAGAAATACTGAAGAGGAGAAAGAAAACTTTATTGAAAATTATAATCTGTCGAAAGAAGTTTTCGTGGACAAAATAGCGAGTTATTTTACTGAACTGTTCTTAGACAAGAAAGAAGTTTTAGAAGTACTCAAAGTTGTCGGCCACGACGGTAGTAAAAAACTTAACTATTTATTGAATTTTGATTTTTAATTATCTACAAACTGTTTATAGCAAAATTACCAATTGAATCGAAGAAGTATCAGAAAATAATAAAAATGTTGACGGCTTCGCAACGGGTTGGTAGTTTTAATTCTAATAATATTTTTACTTTATTAGTATGATTGATCATAAAACCAGGGGGAAAGATGATATTAAAATTTTGTTCTTGGAAAATTAGCAGCAATACTCATTAAAAATATTATTTAAACATGTTCATCTTAGATAAAAAGTTATAAATTTAAAAAAAAAATTTTTTTTTTTAATCGTTAAATAAATATATTTTTTTTTATTGTAAATTCATTGCTATTGCATAAAAAAATAAGTATTAGATAGAGATTATCTACCATCTAAAAGCAAGCTTGTGTTGAAGGTAGAGAGCGATAATTTATAATAATAAGTAAATAATAAATAAATAAGGTGTTTATGATAACTGCTTGTAAACGTATATATAACTTATTCTAAGTACAATAATAACGAGTTATTTTAACATTTTTATAATTATCGATTATATTCATTATAATTATAACAGGCATAGAATTAAAATAAGTATGACCCGGGTAGTCCACGAATTTTCGACCAAATGCTTTTTTAAAATACATCACTTTAACATCGTATGCTAAATCCAATTATCTATATTTTTACCTACTAATATAATGGAAGTTTTTTTAAATAGTAAATGCAGCTAATACATTAAATAATTTAATGTTTTGACTTGTTGATCCTTCAAGAGTAGTTTTCTGTAAACATATTCGAACAATTTGTCTTTGTTGGATTAATAAAGGTTTTAGGGCATTAGCAGACTGGCCTTCCTAAAAAAGTAGACCATATTGCATTAATGCTTAGAAAATTAAAAATTAGACCCAGATTACGAATACTAAAGACTCTTAATGTTATGCATTTTATATCATTGCATGAGTTATTATTATCGCAGACATGCATTTTTAATGCATCAAAATTATCTTCTCTATTATTAATCATGAGATTCATAAACATAGTTTTATTATAATTTATCGACAGTTATCTATGGTTTAGAAAATCGACTACTCTTTTAAAACCTTTAGTATCTTTAATACGTACACCAACCCATGAATTTCCCGAGAAAAGTAAGCACGTAATAACATTTTTTTATCAGAAATCTTTCGAAATTATTGTTTTGTATTTTGTTTTCAGAGCAAACTTATAAGTTTTAATATTCTCTAGATGTTTTTACATGAAACGACATTTATTTTTATTTAATTATTTCGTTCAAATGGCACGAGGGACTGAAAATGTTAAACATGTTCTTCTAAGATAAAAAAAAACATAATTTTTCTAATTTTATTCACTGTATTTATCGATGAATAAATAACTTCCAGAAAATGTTTTCCTATATCTGCCGTCAAGTTTTCCATTTTGGTATCGAATTGTACTTATAACATTTCATTTATTTGTTTGGTACTTAAATATTTTAATATTTAAATATGTTTTACAATAGTAGTTTCGCGTATGAGTTTAATCATATCAAAAATGAATACGCATTTTGTGTTATAACATATAATAGAATAACGTATTTGTTAAAACTTCTAGATGGCACGTATACACAAGGATTTTTATTTAAATAACGGTAAATAGTTAAAAACAACATTGTAGTCGTCATTTTTATTAATTAACATTTACATTTTTCCAGGCGATCCTGATGTTGATTTTCTTCAATATATACGTAAACATTGGCTGTTCAGTGATGAATCTGCGTCTCTTATAACTAATCCCGACAATCCACTCATTAGTGTAATTGGCTATTAAATAATATAACCTTTTTGGATCGATACCAATGATTGAAATTTAACTGTACATATTATTCTAGAATATAAATCCAAATCTGAATAACTTGTCACCGAATAAATGGAGGAAGATTTTTAACCAATACGACAGCGACAATGATGGTTTTATATCCGCAACGCAATTACAGAAACTATTATACGAACAGTTCAATGTATTTATCACCATTCGCCATATAAAGGCATATATACGGGAATTTTATTATAGGGGTAATACCAAAAAAAACCTTATTCTACGAAATATTCATTCAACAAGTGTCTTAATTTTTTTCAGAAATCCATGCTATAGGACTGAACATAGTGAAAAAAATGAGACCGATGATATTTGTTTTGTCACAGGTTTGTTCAGTTTTTTTTGAAACTGTGAAGGATGATCTATTTATTAAATTTGGCAGTTTTTGCGGTTTTTTCCAGATCTACCACCTTTAGGAATTTTAATGATAGTGGAAATATGTAATAACATTTTATGATTGGGAGTAATTAGCTTAAAATGTAGAAAGCTTGTCTCATACCTAGCACACTAACATTTTCTCAGTTTTTATATAGTTTCGGTCGAATTTATCTCAACCCCATAGACCTTGGTATTTGTTTTGGTTATAACTGAAAGTTTAATATCTAACTCTATAAGTTAGATACTGTACACCATAAATCATACAAACATTTCAAATAAACCATAAAGAAACTTCAACCAAATTATAAGTTAAACAAATTGTAATTTTTTTTAACACTTTTTCTAAAATGTCTGTCCAAAACTAATTATTGATTAGAAAAAGTATTAACTAGGTATCATTTAAATTTCAACAATTTGAAGTATAATTTACAAATGTAAAAATCAATAACTAATATGTCGCGCAAAGAAAAAACTACAAAATTGATGTTTATTATCCTTAAAAAAATATTTTCATCTAAGCCTTACCAAAAAAAGTAATTTGTTATGAAACAATTTTTCTAATTTTTTTAGAGAGAAGAGAAGAATAAAAATAATAAAATGTCGACAAATGTTTTCGTGGACATAATAGCGAGTTATTTTACGGAACTGTTCTTAGACAAGAAAGAAGTTTTAGAAGTACTCAAAATTGTCGGCCACGACGGTAGTAAAAAACTTAACTATTTATTGAATTTTGTTTTTTAATTGCCTACAAACTGTTTATAGAAAAATCATCAATTGAATGGACGGAGTATCACGAAATAATAAAAATGTTGACGCCTTCGCTACTGGTTCGTAGTTATAATTCTAATATTATTTTTACTTTATTAGTACGATTGATTATAACAACAAAATGATATTCAAAGTTTGTCCTCGAAAAATTAGCAACAATATTCATTAGTTAAAATTTTATTTTTGTACTTGAATATTTGAATTTTGAATAACATTTTAGCTTCGATGCAAAGCGAGAAGGTATTGATTTTACTCTGATGTGTGTTTTTTTTTTATCTGTATACACTGTAACTTTTTTAATACTAAACCAATTCCTTAGGGTAGCATTTCTATAAATCGAAAAGTTCATCTAGTTTGTACTTTGGGGGGTTAAAAGTTGAAAAAGTTTACTTCTTCACAGACGAAATTTGAAAAAACAAAATAAAACAAAACCGTACGAGTTTTTAAGTTAGAAATTTTGCTGGCTATAGTTTCGAGAAAGTGAGTCGGATCGAGTTGAAATTTATAAGAAATATTTATTTGGTATGCCCGCGCACGTCAGTTGTATTAAATTTAAATTAAACCCATTTCCCACCCCCTAGATGGAGTTCAAGTTTTATTGTTTTTGTAGTTTATTAGTCGTAATTTTAAGACACTTAAGTTGAAAATTTGTCAGTAGTTAGAACTCATATGTATTCATAACATATTAAACGGAAAACAAATTCGGCACTACAGGTTTATTTTAATTGCCGGAAAATTCTGTTTTCGCAGATTGCGTATATTTTAACAAAAAAACACTTAAAATCTTAAAAAAAATTATAAAAGCAAGGTATCGGTTCTACTATGATAACTACAAACACGGTGTACCAGAAGTGAGAAACGAACAGACGCGAATAACTGTCGGTTGGTAACGTCGACCCGTGTTAGGTTAAGACCCAATGGTCAGTATCATAATATTGTGTTTATTACATGATATCACAGACGACTAAATGGTGTAACTGATTACAGTACATACACGATTTATTGAGGAAAAAACCGACCCGTCTACTTATTAAGACACTTAATGATTCTGACTTGACAAAACCACTGTCGTTATCTCGTTATTTTATCGCCCCCGTTATATTACAGTACCGAAGGTCAACTATGAGTATATGAGGTCCAACTACCTGCAAACTATGAAGAGGCCTGTTGTTTTTTGGATTCAGATTAAGTGTTGGTTTTTATGCAGTATATCGCCCCAAAATATATTTTATATTAAACAATTTTTTTAAATGAACACTAATGTTTTGCGTATTGCTATACTGTTATTCATTTAAAGAGATTCACGCTTGATTGTTTAATTTATCTTATATTAGATAATCTGCTTCGTGCTAATTTTAATTTTTTAGTTTATGAACTTGTAGCTCTAATTTTGTATAAAATATTTCATTATTTTATTACTATGTTCAAATTAAGATATATTTTAATAATAATTAAAAACCATAAATGATAATACTCTACATTATGACTAGATCAAATCTCGTAAGCATTTAACTTTGTGATACTGCTCCTATACTATTATTAAGAAAACATAATTTTTAAAATCTCCATAACACAACACGTTTTCTTTGATAAAATTTAAAAATCTATGAAAAGTTTTTTGAATTGCATTTTTTTTGTACATTGACAATCTAGTAAAATAGAAGTATAATAGAGCTTTGAAAGAATATAATCTATGAAGTATAAATAGTTAGTGTGAGATTGCTCTTATGGAAGTATATAATACATAAATACTAATTTTATTGAGAATAAGCGATTATAATTTAAACTATGGAATACAAACGATTGAAACTTGAATCATCGACCATTCCAACTAAATTTAACAAGACATGGATTATGTGTTGTTTGGTCCACTAAAGTGATAAAATCACTTTCGAAAAAACCCTTTGATGCAAATGGTGGTTAGTATTTTCAAAACAGTACAGACCAAACCAAGCACAGTGTAAGCCATTAATGTTAGAAAGTATTAAATTGATGCACGGGGACTGAAAACGTTCAACACGTTCTTCTAAGATAAAAAAAACGTAGTTTATCAAATTTTATTCTCTGTATCGATGAATAAAAACTTTCAGAAAATGTTTTTCCTATATCTGACGTCAAGTTTTCCATTTTGGTATCGAATTGTACTTATAACATTTCATTTATTTGTTTGGTACTTAAATATTTTAATACTTAAATATGTTTTACAATAGTAGTTTCGCGTATGAGTTTAATCATATCAAATAATGAATACGAATTTTGTGTTATAACATATAATAAAATAACGTATTTGTTAAAACTTCTAGATGGCACGTATACACAAGGATTTTTGTTTAAATAACGGTAAATAGTTAAAAACAACATTGTAGTCGTCATTTTTATTAATTAACATTTACATTTTTCCAGGCGATCCTAATGTTGATTTTCTTCAATATATACGTAAACATTGGCTGTTCAGAGATGAATCTGCGTCTCTTATAACTAATCTCGACAATCCACTCATGAGTGTAATTGGCCAATAAATAATAAAACCTTTTTGGTTCGATACCAATGATTGAAATTCAACTATACATATTATTCTAGAATATAAATCCAAATCTGAATAACTTATCAACGAAGGAATGGAAGATGATTTTAAACAAATACGACAGCGACAATGTTGGTTCAATCTCCGCAACGAAATTACAGAAATTATTATACGAACAGTTCAATGTATTTATCACTATTCGCCAAGCAGAGGAATATATATATTTAATTCATTTACAGGGTAATAAAAAAAAACCATATTCTTAAAAAAATACATTCAACAAATGCCTTAATTATTCTCAGAAAACCATGAAATAGCATTGGAACATGGAGAAAAAATGAAACCGATAATAAACCATGAAATAGGATTGGAACATGTGAAAAAATTGGAACCAATAATATGTATTTTGTCACAGGTTTGTTCAGTTTTTTCTTGTTACTGTTTAGGCTGATCTATTTATTAAATTTTGCAGTTTTTGCGGTTATTTTATTACTGCGTAATATTATAAAATACCTAAGTTTTTTAATTTTCCAGAAAATTTACCAACTTTAGAAATTTTAATGAAAATGAAAATATGTTTGTAACATTTTATACCATACAAATATTCCAAATAAACCCTACTGAAAGTTTAACCAAATTATAAGTTAAACAAATCACAATTTTTTTAACACTTTTTTTAAAATGTCTTTGCAAAACTAATTATAGATCAGAAAAAAATCTAAGCAAATTATTCCCAATTAAAATGTTAACTAGGTATGTAAGTCACCATTTAAGTTTCAACAATTGATAGATTACAAGGAAGAGTACAGATTTGAGTGTGGTCTAAAATTGTAAAAAAACAATAAGTAATAGGTCTCATAATGAAAAAAAAATGCCTACCAAAAAAAGACAGCATTAAACAACACGCGCTTCTCAAATTTTTTTAGAGGAAAAGTAAAGAGAAGAATGAAAGCTTTATTAAAAATAACAAAATGTTGACTGAAGATTTCGTGACCATAATAAAGGAAAAGTTTCCGATGGTGTTCTTTAAGAAAGAAGAAGTTTTAGAACTACTCAACGTTGTCGGCCACGACGGTAGTAAAAAACTTAACTATTTATTGAATTTTGTTTTTTAATTATCTACAACCTGTTTATAGAAAAATTGCCGATTGAATTGACGGAGTACCACGAAATACTAAAAATGTTGCCGGCTACGCTACGGGTTAGTAGTTATAATTCTAATACTATTTTTACTTTAAAAGTGCGATTGATCATAATACTAGGTGGAGAGATGATATTAAAATTTTGTCCTCAAAAAATTAGCAATAATATTCATTAAAAATATAATTAAAATTTTATTTTCGTACTTGAATATTTGAATTTTGAATAACATTTTTGCCATCGCAAATCATTCGAAATTATTGTTTTGTATTATGTCTCTAGAACAAACTTATAAGTTTTAAAGTAGGTATTTTATAGATGTTTTTACACATGTAAATAATATATAGATATGTACTACACAAAGAAATAATTGGAATGCACTCTTAGAACATAAATTTTGTTATGCCATTCAAATTGGCACAGTTGACTAAAAGCGTTAAACATGTCTTCTTTGAAGGAAAAAAAATGTAATTTTTCCAATTCTATTCACTGTAATTATCGATGAATACATAACTGAAAATGATTTACCTATATCTGCCATGAAGTTTTTCAATCTCGTATCGAATTGTATTTTTTATATTTTATTTATTTATTCAGTACGAAAATATTTTAACATTTTAGTGTGTTTTACAAAAGCACGTAGATTCACGTATGAATTTATTAATATCGAATAATGAATACGCATTTTGTGTTATAACATATAATAGAATAACGTGTTTGTTAAAACTTCTAGATGGTACGTATATACAATGATTATTCAATACATAGCGGTGTAAATAAATGTAAGTCTTCGGAACACCAATGTAGTCATCATTTTTATTGATTATCATTTACATTTTTCCAGACACCGTTTTGGTTAGTTTTCCCACATGGATACGTCGCAGTAGGCTGTACAGAGAGATACCTGGTTCTTGCGCATTTGAAGTCCACGATCGACTTAAGAGTGCAATTTGCCTTTGAAAAATATAACAAATTTTAATTTTTTTCAGACATAACAATATATTTCTTAAAAATTAATATTAATGAATACTGATGCACTAGAATACTACATTTTTAAATAAAAATATACATACATGTCAATAGAAATAAACGGTTGTTAATAATCAATAGATTGTTTAATTAATTTGTAAAATTGCTATAGATTTAATAAATATAATTCGCGTGATGAAATACTTGTTTTTCCTTTTTCTAATTTTTCCATTATACTTTGATGGATACAAATCAGTCCTATCATTTACCTTTTATCTCGCCTTATATTATGTTAATAACTTAAAAAGTTTATAATCAAAACTAATATTAAAGCAATAAGGTATCTATTATGACTTTATAATTTACCTGAAAAAACTACTATTTTTCAACTACAGTTGTACACACTTTAAACTAATTGTAATAATAGTAATAATAATAAAATAATGTCCTATAAAAATATCATTTTACAAAAGCATTAATTATTTTTAGAAAGTGATAAAATGGGAAGAGTTGGTAGTAAAAAACTTAACTATTTATTGAATTTCGTTTTTTAGTTATCTACAAATGGCTTACTAAAATATTACCAATTGAATCGACGGAGTACTACGAAATATTAAAAATGTTGGAGGCTTCAAATCGTGTTAGTAGTTATAATATCAATATCATTTTTACTTTAACAGCATGATTGATCATACTACCAGGTGAAAAGATGATAATATTCAATTTTTGTCCTTGACACTCTAAACTCTACAATCTAGTCGACAAAATATTAGTACAATATAACGTTCAAGAAAAGATACCAATAATTTGTAAAGTTTTCAGTATTTTTAATTTTTAATTGAAAGCAAAAAACATATTGATTGCCATTTACTTCTAAACAAGCCTGTATCGTTTTAAACAGTTCAGAAGATGTAATCTTTGGAATAATGACCGTTAGTGTTTCAGCTTCTTTGATAACATTTTAATTTTTGACATTTGTGTGTCTTTGCTATGGCACACACACGGAAAAACGACACCGGTTATCACGATAAGAAAAAAAAGGCTGATTTATCTGTTTAGATAAGAGAGATAAGAGATAAGAGATATGTTTTTACTTTGGAACACAACCATAAAATGGCTATCTTGAATTTTTAAAAATACATGTAAAAAAAAAAAAAAGTAAAATATTTAAATGCAATAGAAACGTGGTGCTTATAGCGCAGATGAATGTAAATTAATTTTAAAGGAAAAATCTTAAATATATTCACTGGAACAAAAATTATTTTATCTGTCTTATTTTTGTGGGATACCCTTGAAGATGGAATGTGCACAGTGCAAGTATTCAGAAGCATTGCAGACAAGTTAATCTGTTTAAGAGGAAGTAACGACAAAATATGTAAATAGTTCAAAGATATATTCGTTATTATTTTGAAAAACTTAATCTTAAACCACTAAAAAGATGCTATTGAATACTGTAACAGCTAATACCAAAACTATGCCCACTCTCAGCAGTATCTTGAATTAAGTAATTATCGGTTAAAGAATTCATTATTAGTAATAACTTAAAAAATATTTAAGACTCTTAAAGTTTAAAAACTGATTTGCAGCAGATCCACATTAGTTACAATTGACCAATATTTGATTTGAAAAAAATTGAATTTGCAAATCTATATTCATCTGCTTACAAATTTTATGGACAACCGTTAACTGCAATACTATCCTACGGTAACTAAAAAAAAAAATAATAATAATAATTTGTTAGTGATGAAATTATAGCTTAAACTATTGCAATATTATGATCTTGTATACCTTATCTTATAATATAACACCTACATTTAGTGAATTAAGACGTACAAACAGTATGAATAAACAAAAAGTGTCCAACTAACCAAATGCTTGAAAAATATACACAAAGTTGATGTATTAAAATTTCCCTCTTTACACTTACATTTTGTTCAGAACATACGATGCAAATCATGGTCGTATCCAGCACTCATTTTTTTTTTTGGGGGGGGGGGGTTATTTTAAGATAAAACCAGTATATAATACTTAGAGTTTTAATTAAATAGAACCATATCAGTTTTTAAGGTATATATATATAAATATTTATACCGCGTAGTCGATAAATGTCAGGTGTATGAATGTATCTTTACGGGCCAATTTTTATCTCGGTGACTTAAAAATTAAAAAAATTATTCCCTGTTATTCAGTGCAAAAAGCTCACCTTAAAAGAGGGGTCACACCATTTTCAGTGATGAGACATGATAAGAGATTAGAGATAAATAATTAGAAACAAGAGATAAGAAATAAATAATAAGATGTTAGTGATAAGAGATAAATGATTAGAGACTAGAGGTAAGAAAAAAATGATAAGATGAGTGATAAGAGAAGAATTAGGGGCTGAAAAAGACTGAAAATGATGTGACCCCTCGTTTAAGGTGAGCTTTTTGCACTGAATAACAAAGAGTAATTTTTTTTATTTTTAAGTCATTATTTTTTTACTTAACTGTCGAAATCTTCAATTTTTTACTTATCGAAAAAATGAAAACGGGGGGCTTATTTGGGGGTTCCCCAGATGTCCAATCACCTATTACTTACCTTTCATGCTGGAACACCCTGTTTATAATATTTCGTTATTCTGAGTACAAATCCAAAAATGTAATACAGTTTGAGTACACTATAAATTCTATTTTTATGTATATATATATATATATATATATATATTTTTTTTTTTATTATCGACACGACTTGTGCTTTTATTCATATACAGGGTTGAATCGATTCTATATATGAATGTAAACATTATTATCCAGTCATTATTGATGTCTTCCAATAAGGTACACCAACGAAATTCGAAAAAAACTAAAATTCATTGGCGTGTCCATAAGCCTAAGCAGGCGATAACGATAATATCACGTATTTATTATTATTTAATTCTATTTTAGGCTTTAAAGTTTAAAGAAAACTTACATCAAAATATTTTTCTTTTTTTTACATCATTTTCAGGAATACTTTTAAAAAAATGGAAAAAAGACATAAAGGAAAGGTAATAAAAATATTTTTCGATAAAATTTGGGGGGAGGGGGGTGTTTGAACCCGGACCCCCCCCCCTGAATACGGCCATGATGCTAATCTATAGTAATTGGACCTTCTTTGGTAATTTCATACTGTGTCGGTTCGGACTTTGCGGGGGTTAGACTTTGCTGGTTAATACTGAGCTCATACAACATTTTTGTTTTCAAAATTGCATTATAAGGGTTTATATTTTTCTAAATGCTTTTATAATAAATCTAAATAATTTTCTAACAGCTAAATCAAAAATCGGCCTTTAAGCCCCCATAGAAAAAGTAGTAAAGTTCACATAAAAACAAAAAATCTTATACAAAAGTAATTTTTATCAGACTTCGCCATAGCTCAGAGAAAATTAACTTTAAATGTTTTATAACTAGAAAAACTTAATGTTTTTTCTCTTAAAAATATTGTTTATTATTGATATATTGTATATTTTTTTTTGTACTAGCATAAGAAATACCGTGTTTACTATATCCTATTCCGTTTGGTTGTTTGTGCCTTTATATGTTTAAACTATATTTTGCTTGCACGGTAGTACTGCATGTTTACATAAGCTATTGCGAATACCTATTTTGTACATTCGTATTTTGCCATCGTTGAAGTGTTTATAATTATTTTATTTTTATATTTTATCCCTGAGAACATGCAACTACACGCGATAAGCGTTTAAAGCATAATTATAAGTCCTATAGGTACTACCTACAAGCATTTTTAGTTTTAGTTAAAATCACCTTATTGTACAGAATAGCCAGCAATATATAAAACATATAATATAAGTATTATTTTCTTACACGTTATATTATTGTGCAGTATTTTGCACAATGACTGATCGAATGTCGCATTGCAAACAAAAAATATGATAAACACCGGTTGGTTACACGCGACCTTAGAAGTTTTGACGTTATCAGAACAGTCATGATTTACAAAAACAATATTATAATATAGTTTTACCCACGTTATACTGTTTTCATGATTTAAATCGCAATTATTATTATCTGCACAATACACAAATAATACAACGCGATATTATATTCGTCATATGTTTTAGGTTGAAACCAACTACAATATAACTAAACACATAATACTAATTATACTTGAATGGAAAAGCCATTAGGATAATATGATAGGAAGAGAACAGGGGTTCGGAAAGGCGGAAGAGAGCGTAGGACAATGAAAAAGATTAAGGGGGAAATCACACATTGTAGGTGCTTCGTGTAAGATGCAGTACGGTGAGGAATTAAGTAGAGAAATGGAAAAAAAGAAATAGGGAATGGCCGAATCATAGACGGGCTAAACAAGTTATATAATATTGTGGGGTAAGATTAAAACCGTGAAACCAAAGCAATGGGTACAGGGCTGATATTAAGGCTGAAGAGATGATGACATATTGGATAGGTTGGGAATAAGAGGGGACCGTTTGCCTCACTTGTCAACAATTTTTTTGGGGTAAAGCTGAAGAATGTTCTAAGCTCTAGCTAGAGATGAGAAGTCCACGTGATTCAGGAAAAGATACGAATGAGCTAGCAATTGAATCAACTCGCTTTTAGCGACCTCATATATGTTGTATTCACAACGCTTAAAATAGAAATGAACAATAAATTCAACAATTTAAGGGGCCAAATTCTCTATGAATTGTTATGAGTCAGATATTACGAAAACACTAAAATATTAGCCAGAAACTTGATATGTTTACTAGCCACCTTAAATACATAAAAATGTACCCGTGGTGTTGCAGACACATATGCAAGGTGTTAAAATATAATATGTAATACCTATGTGAAAACCTTTAATAGAGCCTTGCAAACATTCTCCAAATCCTTTATATCCTTTTATGTAGCTTTTTTTTAAATAAAAACTAAAAAAAAAGGAAATTTCATATTGACCATTATACATTTTTATGGTTAAATTGAATCAAAAAACGATGAATTACTGAAAAAACATTTTTTATTAAACCAAGTTATTTAGTAAAATATTAGAAATTATTTATTAATGACTTTATAATAATATTAAGATATTTTTTATTTAACTAATACGGCATCAGCTACAAAGGCTGAAATTGCCGGTTT